ACCTCCTCCTCCCCCGCCCTGAATTTTTTTTGCTTATACAACGTGAACTAGTTTAGCGAGCCTCGGACACGAAAATGTATTTATGTGACTACCGCTCGACCCCAACTCTGTCTACTAAAAATAAAGGCAAAGGCAAATTTTGAAACTTACTGAAGCTAGCCGCCGGCTGAACGTGATCCGCAGTCGTGGCTGCGGATGGTGGGGTATAGCTGCTGCAGTAGTACGGTGGGTGCTCTATTTTGATCGCGTTTATTTGAGGCTGCATGTCGCTGAGGTCATGCAGTATGGACGCTGAAATCAGACACATATTAGCAGCTACGATTCTTACCACGCTCGTATACGTATGTCATTCGTTTTCTTTGCACTTCACGAGTACAATCTACGATTGCGAAAACAGCACTTCCGTGCAAAAAACAAATGAAAAAATGAGAGAGAGAAGAGAGAAAAGGAGAAAAATCAATCGTTTCTAATAACTTTAATAAATATTTTAAAAAATAATTCAAAAAATATCTGCAAAAAAGCGATTAAGTAAGTTGCAATTCTCTCTCAGCTATGATCTAATGTATGTAATAATGTAATGTACGCGAATCATATTCAAAATATACTATACTAAAATAACAACGTGTAAAAAACAGTTCACAAAAATCTTTTTTCTTTACTTTTTAAAGTGCTATAATATATGTATATTTCGAAGATTTCTTTCGTGCTAAACACGATTCCGAACATAATTCCATTATTAAAATTTGCGTAGCACATTAATTTTGAGTAAATGGAGACATAGTAAAAATAACATTTTTTTACCATTTCAACAACTTTTTACGGAAAAAAATTATTTTTAAATAAAGTTTACGCTAAAAGTAAATACAATTAAAGAATTTTTTAATTAATTTTTGTGTAGTTTGTGATTATATGACAAAATCTTAATAATCAAGTTGAATAAATACATGACAGGAAATAAATATTTATAATTTGAGAATTTCACTATAAAAAATATTTTAAGCATACACATTTTGGGTGTATATAACTACAATACTACATACAATCAAATTGTAATTTAAAAAATTGTTGAAATAGTGGAATCACTGAAATTTCAAAATGCTTTTGAAATAATTATTGATCCTGTTTATTTATCTATATATGTGTATATGTATAAGTTTATTATAATTATTTATTAAATTATAATTATAAATACAATTATTTATTTGATGCCATGTATTTAAATATGTATTTCCCTTTTTAGATAATACAAATAGTTCAAATTTAAATTGCAGAATATTTACGATAAATATTTATTACTATTTATTTAAAAAATGTATTATGTAAATATTTTATATATATTTTATATAAAGCTTTATTCGAAATATTATTATATAGATTAAATATTTTATGTGATATTTATAATAAATATAAATAAAGTATTTTTTATGTAAATTATAATGTCTCATTCCAATATAGTACATTATACAGGATTTACAGCTAACCGCATGTGTGTATGATTTTCCTGATGCCTACTTCTTTGCATGTTGATCAATGCATGCTATATACCATTCGTAAAATAATGTACGTATTACGTGAAATTAGAAAAATATATGAACTATTTGATCTTTATTCCACGATAATTTATTGTTTACAAATTATTTTTACAAATTTTAAGTTAATTGACCGAATTAATTAATTTTTATTATATATACAAACTAGAAACTAAAGAAGAGAGCAGAGAGGGTCATTAACTTATATATCACGTACGTAGACTGTTAGAAAAGTTTCTGCAAACGATATGAAAAAAAAAACATGTAAAATTCGGTAAATGGCTTTAGTTTTACCGAATTTTACATGTTTTTTTTTCATATCGTTTGCAGAAACTTTTCCAACAACCTACGTACACATGATACCAATCAATCACGTAACTGTTTCTAACGTTTAATTGGCACATGTAAGAAAATGAAATAATACACCATAGTTGTGTTCAGCAGACTCAACAGTTGAGTGAGCGTTCACTACTATTAGTGTATTCTTTTAGATCATCCAAACAAATTTTAGATCTAGAAGAATATATCCATACTAGAAAGCGTTCATTCAACTATTGAGTCTCTTGAATGCAAGCCATATCAAACACAGAAGTCAAGAATGGTAGCATACTCCGTTCATTGCATGAAGGTGTTTAGCATGTATCAGTATAGGCACAGCAGCATGTAAGATGCTAAGTCCTATATGTAAGAAATCAAGCATTGTGTGCGGTTAATTTAACAAACCAACCGGACTCGTTTTTCGAAAAATATGCACTTTCTTGAAAACGTTCCAAACAAAAGTTATAAAATTGTATAAGTAGTGCACTAAATAGTAATATTAGTATGACCTTGGATAGCACTGTTAAGATAATGAAAAATCAATTCAAAACTTCAAACTGTATTTTAAAGTTAAAAATTAAAATAAGTAGAGCAACCTATGAGATGACCTTAACCTTGACACATGTATAACGTCAAGGTCATAATCGTCATAAACGTTGAAAAACGTTTATAAGTATTAAATCTCATAGGACCTATAGAAAATAAAGGCCTAAATAATTTAACTAGATTTCAAATGGTTTTATAATTCTATACGAATTTATATACTATATATGTAATCCTTTAAATTATACAAAATAATTTTTCGATCTTGAACAAATTCCACTGAACTATTGCACTAATATCACGAGTTAAACTGACAAGCAATTTAACAATTCAATACTCTTACGCATCTTAGAACGATCTCGATAATGTTGAATGACATTATTAACATCTGTAAATAAGTAATTTTTATTGCAGAAAATATTACCTCGACCGAGAGTCAAATTCACAGATCTCTAGCACTCCGTGCAAACATCCTAAGCCTTTAGATCACTGAGGCTTTAGTAATATTCTTTCTAATAATTGGTATATGTAGGAACAACGTTTATTTATGACGTAAAAAAAAAACAATATTAAATCTCATAAGACCATACATGTGAGAACACAACTTATAAGAAATAAATGTCTTAAACGGTCTAGCTGGATTTTAACTTGTATAACTTAATAGTGTGAATTCATATTACGTATGTATCTAATCCTTTAAACATTTAAAAGATTTTAAGCATCAATAGGACACCTTGGACAATAATTGTCAACGATACTATATCTTTCATAATTCGGAAAGTACTTAATAAAAAAATACATCTATTATTAGGATTATAACGGATATTCATTTTTATATATGCGAAAGTGAGATTTTTGCATCATTTTGGACTCACTTTCGCTATTGAAATTATATAATTATGCGAAAGTTTCAGCAAAAGATTCCGTCCAATTCTGTATAAAAATTCACAGCTTCATTGAGAGGATGACAGAAAAGTGCAGTTTATTTTATTCATTCATTTACAACAACTTAGAGACACTTTAAATTTTAAAATTTAAGCATGAAACAAATGAATATTAAGGTACAGTATTTCCCTAGTTTTTCATATGTGATATTTTTCAAGAATAGAGATCCTGGAGAATCGTATTGCCATTTCGATTGTATTGCATTATCCATTCAACAAATTTATCCGGGTTGAAGAATATCTTTTTTTTACAAGTTTTTCTATTTTTCGACGTTCAATTATCAGTAGGTTAGTTTCAGCCAAAATCAGCTGCAAGGCCAATAAAAAAGGAAGAAAAAGAAAATAATAAATAAGTAAATTGCTGTGTGTTTAACAATTAAATTAAGTGTATAAGTGATAACAATATTACAATATTATTCAATAATTTGAATTGAAATCAATACTATTTTTTATTTTTAGAGAGAGATTATTACATATTATTTTTCCTCTAACTAAATTTAAACTCAATTTCATCATTCAGCGAAAAGAAACAAAATTTTTACTTTCGCATTCGGAAAAGATTTTTTTTTCTTTCGCTTTTGTTTTCACACCCGCTTTCATGACTACTTTCGTTACAATCTTATTTATTACAGTACAATCTTATTTATTACAGTGCTTTAAAAAGCTCTTAAGGTCAGCTACAGGAATAAAACTGCAATAAAAAAATAGAAGAGGTATTCATTAAAAAATTTTAAAGCGACTTTTACATTATCTTGACTTTATCCGAAGTCACATTAACATTGCTATTTAATACGCCAATAAAAATTCTACAACTCTTGTCTGACACAAATACATATTTTTTTAAAAAACGAGCTTGATACGGTCACTCTATTACATCCTGTATTATACATTTACGTATAAAGAGCACTATGTACTACGAAGTTTCCGTCGACGGCATCATATTCAGTACAAGAAAATCTTCCAGGTATGTAGCGTTACAGCACTTAGCAAAATTTTTCTGTCGAATCGTGCAATTTATATAAATGTGCGTGCGTGTGTGTATGTGTGTGTGCTTGCATCTAATAGAAGATAGTGGAAAATAATAAAATTTAGTCGAGTTATAAAGAAGTGCGATAATTTTTATTCGAATCATCTCCTGTTTCCAACGAATAATCAATTGTATTACTATTCATATTGTTTGTTATTTCTGTAGTTGCCAATGATGAATCCGCGTGCTGAGACTTCACATATAATCTTTCTAAAGGGGTAATAACTCATCATGGCAGCTCAACACATCAAAGCTTTTTATTATTTTTATTTACCTCGAGATATCATATCTTTCTTGTTAGAAAGATGGCAATAAATATTAAAGAAATATGATAATCCATATTAGAAATATGACAACATGATACAAAGTACCAACAATCAGGATGCTTTCAAAAGGTCTTTCGCACTGAGCTATTTGTTACCTTTCGAAAGCATCCACAGAGAAATCGTCACGTATATAATATATTTCGAAAAAGAGTTAACCCAATAATACAAAATCAATCTGAATGCAGAATTTATCGAACATAAAAACACGTGTGAGACAGTAAAAATTATGTTACGTGCAATTAACGGACAAACTCGAGTTCGAATCTATGAGGAATATATAGCGTCGTACCTTTTGAAAGCATCCAGAGCTCTTTGGAGCTGAAGACACCTGTTGCAAGGATCGTATCATTGCAGACGACACCATTATATAGTTCATGATATCCTGTACCTAGGAACAAAACCCAGCGAACAATATTTAATATCCGCTTGCCAAATTCACTAAAACCCAATATATACGAGTTTGAATATGTGTCGGGATGTAAAAATTTTGTAGGAAATAGGGATGCACCTGATATCAAGAAGATTCAGATCCAGTATCTAGTACTATCCGGCATTTTTTTACTATTTAATTTAATAGTCGGATATCATTAATATCCGATAATATATATCCGACTGAAATTTTATATTAAAAGTTTGCGTCATTGTTGCAGAATTATATTCTTTTTAGCTAAATACTTTACAGTTTATCTTTGCTCTTTTTCTTTTTACGTTAGAAAAATAAAGAGAATTATTATTGCTAACTTCCCTTGTTTTCCTCTTTTTCTTTTAATATTTTGGAAAATTTGTACCAGATGTCCTTACGAAAAGAAACTACAATTGCACTACTAGTGTAGTAGAAAATTCAACTACTATTGCACTATTGCACTGTTACACTACTATACTATAACACTAATAAAATGCTGAATATATATAGTTCCTACATAGTACTACGCCTGAATAGTACTACGAATTTCGCTGAAAAATCAAAAAAATAAAATTAATTAATCCAGTTTTATTGCTCAAATAAGTATTACTGATTAGTATCATATTCCACACACAATAAAATTAAACATTCTTCCTGAATTAATTTCATGGTACTCCCAAGTAGTTACCCATCCTTAATTGTACCCTAACAACTGCGATCGTAGGAAAATTGCTCTCTTGATGATCCACTAACACTTATAATACTAATTAACGTATAGTTGTAACGTATCCAATCAAAGATGTGGAAAAGATGGAACACCCCTAGTAGAAATTGAAATAAAGAACTAGTATGGTGGGCTTGCGGGAATGCTATGCTATCATGTTAGGAACTAACATGGCAAACTTACAAGCGCCACGCTTTCGTTTTTATTAGAATTAAAGAAATAGTTTGTATGATATGTATAGTTTTGTAATACAAATATTTTTTTTAATTAAAAAAATATATTTTTATGTGTAACAAAAGGTTTTCTTACATGAAAAACTTTTTTAGTATAATAAAAAGATTACTATTATATATACTATTTTAACAAAAAAAAAAAATTTTTTGTTATTATTACTTTTTTTACTTTTTCCAGTTTAATTTATGTTCACTGCGTTTCGTATACTTGTGTTCTATTGTATTTTATTAACCACAATTAACTTTCAAAAAATGCCACGCATTGTTGGCAAAATTTGAACCTATGATCCTAGAACGGTAACCTGATACACTAACGCTAAGCTAATCGCACACTTGTGATTGAGGCGTTATCAGCGCTATATCTTCTACTGGAACCATTCTTAATTTCATGTCTCTATTAACAGTTAATATTATTAACATTTGAAGAAATTAAATAAAAACGAAATTATATACTGGTATTATGAACTTAGTTAGAAAATGATAATGACAAAGCGATTGTCCTCAGCAGCGATACTGGTCACAATAGTCGTAAACTTAAATAATTAATATCTCAGGCTCGCAGAGCATAGTAACACTTTTTTTCTGTTAGATTTCTTCGTTTTGTTTAAGATATCTGATGATAATAATGATAATAATTCGCTTTTAATAATACTATAAATTATTATTCCTACTGAAATAATAATGTAATACTAATTTCTCTAATGGTATATATATGTATGTACTTTTTACTACAATTACGATTTTTTAAATAAATATTACAATTATACAATATTGAAAATACGTTATGTGTGTGTGTTACTGAATTTTCTATTAATAATATTCTACTAATAATGACATTATTAGTAATACTGAACACTATAGTATCACTAGGAGCACTACTGCACTAGTGTCACTAATATGATAGCGAACACAAATAGTACCAATGGAGAGTTTCTCTCTAGTAAGAGAGAAACCAGTAATACTTACAATAGTGAAAATATCTACCTCCAGAGAAAGTTTTCTTCAATTCATAGAAATATTTCTTTGCTATACGGTTAAAAATTTTTTTTACTTTAACATTATTTTTTTAAATAAAATAAAATTAATTTGATTTTAAAAAGTGATGTTTAAATCAAAGAAATTACGTACAAATCAACGAAATTTTTTTAACAATATAGCAAAGAAACATTTCTTTGAATCGAAGATACCTTTCTTTGGGTGATACTACAGTAGCGTCGAATACTACTACCAGAGAGAAATCTGAGAAAGGACATGAAGGTTTTTTATCTATAACTGCAAAATATCGTGCTCATTAATCGCTAAAACCTTTATTAATTTGATAAATGTTAGTTATTTCAGAGATGTCAACAATTTACTTCCATCAGCAGCGCCATAAAAAAGTGGATATTGTTGTGTACAACACAGTTTATATCCACTTCTTCAGAGGGCGATAAGGCGCATAGCATTTTGCGGTTATAGAAAGAAAAAAGGTTTTCCTGTTCTCTCTCAGGTTTCTCTCTGATGACACTATTGAATTTCAGTAGTGTACTACTGTGCATTAGCAGTTTTTTTCCGTAAAAGTATCCGGGAAAATATTCGGTGTCTAGCCGAATAATTGACCTTCCGAATATCCCAACCGGATAATGGATACCGATGTTATATTCTTTTTAAATATTCGATACCGGCTATCCGATAATTTTACGGTTATCCGGTACATCCCTAATAGGAAACGGTTAACCAAAAATGCGTAATGTGCATGCTTCTTTTGAGATGAGCAAAACAAATATAATTACGCAAATGTGAATTATAAAATTATATGCATACCTTTTCGACGTCTATCCTCCTCCTTACTAGTGTTGCAGATGCCATTCAGTACTTCTATAACAGAAAAATAACGCTTATATAATATAAATGCTTTTATTTAACGAAAGGTAATTCACTTGCAACGATATAGGTAATATGTTTCATTCTTTTTCATTTCATTTTTTATAATTTAAGTATTTTGTCATCATCGAACAAGATAACCTTATAACACCAAAATAAAATTTCTTTTGACAAAATCATACTCAAAGTTTTCACTATTGCTCGGTGTTTTACGCAAATTTTGTTACGCAACGTATAACCGAAATACTGAAGATTCCGAAATTATATTTCTCAATTATCATTCTCTGCGATTTCTCAAGAATTAAGAAAGATATGAAGAGTTGGGCTGATAAAAAATTGAATTTTATCGTAAATATGCTTCAAAGGATAAACAATAATAAAAGGAAAAACTAAAAAGTGTAAAAAGAAATTAGAGATTTAATTATATTGCGTACATTTGGAAGTATTTTTGCACTCTCTCACACGCGCGCGCATGTGTGTGTGTGTGTGTAGCAGAATATCATAAAAAATTATATATTTATATTTTAAAAATCATAAAATTTGATATATACATTTATTTGGAAACACACACACATTTATTGAAATATATATTTTTGTTAATATAATAATACACACAATAATGCGAGACAAATTTTTTTTAATTTTATTAAAGTTTATCGCGATATAACAAAGTTTTTTAGTTTTCGAAACTTTTCTAGACCACAAATTGTTGAAAATCATAGATTTTAATTGTGTTTTATTTCTTAAACAAATAGAAATATCTATTTATAAAATTTTACTTAAAATTTTTATACCTACTTATAAAAATTATTTCTTTTGAAACAACGTGAGATTGTCACTTCGACATTAAAAAATGAATTGATCCGCGACGAAAATCCTCATAAATGCAAAATATATAAAAATATTTTTAGTGGCATGAAAAAAATCAATATATATGCGAAGCTGTGTGAGTTCTCGCTAAAGATGTTCGTTGCCTATTTATTTATAGAACGAGCATACAGTAGCAAGCATGGTCACGCGCTTGCGTGCACATTTTCTCTACATGTTCATTCGACACACTGGTCGCTTCGATGCGCAGACACCTAAGACAAGAAATACGCATACAAACGTGAAATAATATAATATAGAGAAATATACATGAATATTGGCTCATGCTGACTGATTGTGAGATATTTAGCCTAACGAAGACCAGAAAGAAAGTATCTTTTTGCGACAGGAAAATTGCATACACTGTTTCTTTTTTAAAGCTTTAATTTTAAATCTCTCTATTTTTCCAATCAGTAATTTAGATAACGATCTGATAGATTTTTTTTTTTACGGAGCTTACAATGGAAATCCATCAAATCTAAAATATTTTTTCTGAATTTTACAAAGTTCGATGGCGTGAATTACGTGTCAGCCAAAAGTTTGAAATCACGTATAAAATTCCAAATAGCACATTGCGCCTACAAAGTATTAAAAAGGTAATAAAAAAAGTATAAGAAGTGTTATGTATGTATCAAGTGATATGTATGTATCATAAATATTTAAATATTTAAATAGTTATGATACATATAGTATATCCATTAACAAAGAATATTATAAATTAATAAAGAAAAACTAACTTATGTAAGCAAATATTCAAATTGCTTGTCTCCTTCTGCTCTTTTCAACAAATTACTATATGCGTAGTAGCTATTACACTATTTTGATATAAAATTGCACAATCTGTAATTATTCTTTCTAAAAAATCTTGAATATTACTTATAGATGTTTGATATATAAAAAGTTTCAGATATCCTCATTAAAAAAAATACATAAGGAATAAATCCAAAAAATGTACCGACCACCGAATTGGTTCATATATACTTATAACACAATTTGTAAAAATATCCTGAAGATAATTTTAAACTATTCGTATGTTATGGGCTAGGCAATCATCTTTGTTGAGCCTATAAAGAATGCTGTTACAAATAATACAGAAAACAAAATTTTATCAAATATAGATGATTGAAACAGAAGTGGATAAATGTTGACGAGTTTTTGTCATTAATTAATAAATGTGTAATATACTGATTGTACTGTTACCAATTACAATTCAAAAGGATGAAACAAGAAAATTAACGGAGACAAACAAAATTCAAACTTGAAATTCTTGGTTCATACTCCTAACACTCAAAAAGCTTCCTCACGACGAGTGGCAGATTTAGATGTTTTTATCCTAAATCCTGTACTTCTTGGTGTCCCTTTCAGACGAATAAAAACCAAAAAAAATTGGCTACTGTTGAAAAACTCACTTTTCCGTCAAGCGTCAAGATTTTGGCTACAATGGCGAAAATGCGCCCACCTGGCAACCCTATACAAAGATTAACTTTAATCTCGATTGCTACAAGAATGACGCTTCTATAAACTCAGGCCTCATGGGTCTCTATCTAAATCCGCTATTACTCCCGACTGCTCCATACTACTCGTAATTCTTATATGTATCTCACATAATGAACAGTTATCTATCAGTTAGCGCTCAAGTATATGTATATCTGTGATGTTTTTCCAAATTTCTGCAAAAAGCCGTTCAGAAAGAGCTAAACAAACCTATTTTTTTATTTGATTTAATAAATCAGCGCTCGATTATGAGAACCAGCCTATTGTCCTATAACCCGCATAAAACAAAAAAAAAACATAATGGAGAATTATTAGAGAAACACTAATTCCAGAGTTGGCAAAATGAGGAAAATTTACAGAAAAATCCTTAGAAGTAATTTCTAAATCAGTAAGACATAAAAAACATAAAAAAGTAAGTACTTTTCTTTTTACGCAAAATTCGTCTATCTTGTGGCAACACCGCGTACTACACTAGCCTCAAAGCCACCATGGCTTCGTAATATCATTGACAATATATTTCACTTCAGTTTTATGTAAAATACCCATTGCACAGTAATTCTTCATAAAACGATATTGATGTTTGAAAATGAAAATCCAAATCAGTATTGTACATCAATCTATTAATATTAATCATACAATAGAAACACATATGAAGCACATTGTGAGTAAATGATAAGAATATGTTAAATTATATTGCCTATAAATTTGATTATATTTCACATAGTAGACATTTTCAATTAATGATTTCGATGTTTGACTAGTAATATTTAAAGCTTAACGCTTCAAAACAACTGTATTGCGAGAAAATTCAAATTTGAATAAGTGTTGTAGTCGATTGAATATAGGGACTGAGAATTAAATTGTAGACCTAATATATGCATATAAATTTTTTTTATATTTTACATCTCGTTAATAAAGATTTATTTAAAACTAACAATGTATAATGAAAGTTAATCTATTATACAATAAATCGCAAAAGTATTATAGCTCTATAAAAATGTTAGAAAGAAAAAATGAAGGGAAATATATCAAGAATATAAATTCTTTCAGTTTTTTTTCGTTTTAATATTGTTAGAACTAATAAAAAAAATTGAATGAAAAAACTACAAACATTATTACTTTAATAATTTGATTGCTCGACTTGCCTCCACATTGTCGCAAAATACGGATTTTATACTTTATTTTCACTTTACCTTAGTTTAAAAATACGTTTAATTAAAATAGACAATTAGCACACTAACAATAAAAACTATAACATGTTTGTCGAATAAACAATTATTCAATAAATAAAATTTCAATGCAATTAATGTAAACGTGTTAATCGCTTTGCCAAATCGCTTTCTAAATTAGATTTTATCAAAATTATCGAATAAATCAATCCTCGAGTATCTTCTGGACACCTATCTATCATAGAATAAATTGGAATCCATTCCGACTTGTTCCATGATAGGTACCCTGTTGCAGGATTCTCTAAACGTTTTATTAAAAATTGTCGTTATCGTTAACTAACGACAACCAATGAGAGCCTCGCTTTCTTCCAGGATTATCCTGCCATCGGCTGTCGCTAATTACAAAAGCGACAATCATCAATATGACATTTAGAGAATCTCGCTACTCTGATTTCTCAATTACGACGATTATCGAATATAATCTGTCTTACCGTGACTCGTGATAAAATTGGCGAGATAGAGATCTAGTTCCCGGACGGAAACGTTAATATGATAAGGATTGACGCAAAGTCCCGGCTGCGCACATTCCGCAGTTTTCTCAAGCCGTTCCCCATCTGTCGATTCCAACGGAATTGCTTTGAAAAGAATCACCATAACTAGGTCCAACCTCCATACCTATCACAGAAATATCGAGCATTCATTATGATAAGAATTTACATTGTAAAAATAAATATTAAAAAGATTCTTTTTAATAAGAATTTATTTAATAAAATATAGATAGGAATACGTGTAAAAGCGTACGTGGGTCATCGGATTTACCTTGTCCGCTTGACGAAGACAATCGATTCGACGCATTTTACCCTTTTGATCAGGATTGCTTAAAACGCACATTGCTGGCCTCTTTCCCGTGATACTTAATACAAAGTCCTCTCGATATTCTTGCGTGATATCCTTTCGTAACTTTCCTAGAAGCCGCGAGGCCCATTTCTGTTTTACTTCCAGCTTTTCGTTCTAAAGAAAGAAAAGACATCGTAAATTGCGAACATGAGAATAGCAATCATCATTGCATTATTGATTCATCAATTTCGTAATCTAACACATAGTTGCGTAATAATTGTCACTCTGTCTTGATAAAAAGAATACTGGCGTATATTAAATATACCTAGAGAACAATTTTATTATTAGATAATAGTTAAGAGTTTATATAGAAAAACGTTTTTTTAAAATTACTTTAAATCAGATAAGGTGTCTATAGATTTTTTGATGTTAAAAACAATACCACAAGTCCAATTTAACCAGCACGTGAAGTTTCCAAAATAATTGAAATTTAATATGCCAAATATAACTTTTTTGCGATACTTAACGTTTTTTGTAAACATAAAAAGTAAACGTTATCTCAAATATTTATCAAAAGTTATGAATATATATCCCTAAATATATTCTCTTTAATTTTAATATTTTATTTTTAGTCATGTTATAAAAAATTTAAATACATTTAAATATAATTTTTTTAAAATAAATTTTCCGAATATACCAACAACAAATGTTATGGAATTTCATGGCAAGTGACTATAGTCACCCCTTGTATGCAAATGGCGTTTTGTGGAAAATGACTATAGTCGCTCGTAGTATATGAATAGTGTCTTGTGTAGAGCGACTATAATCGCCCGTCGTAACAATAGGGTTAGACCTCAATTATTTAGGAAACTCTGTGATAATCGTATTTAACAATCCAAGATCTATAAAATACACTTTATTTGCTCAAAGTAATTTTTGTAAATTAGTGTAACTAAAAGTAAAAAAAAATATTAAAATAAAATGGAACAAATTAAAAACATCACTTCGCTTCGATTAACGCGTGTCGATTTGATTCAATCACCTTTTGTGACAGCGAAACCATTTTTGAAAGTATCTCTGTGATGTCTCAGCTGATTATTTCGCAGAATTTTTCAAAGTTTGTACTCTACGTAAGATTAACAATCAACAAAAATCTGAAGGAGAGATGTCTTTCGACTGTGCGATATGCAACGCACGCATACGACATCTGTCACACTCGGAATAGCAAACACACGCATGCATAAGAACCCTGAGAAATGCATTGAAAGTGGAATGCATCGACGTACTACGCGCGCGATCTATCTTACTTATCCCGTTTTGCCATGCACTGTACACACGTTTGTATGACAGGAAATGGAAACTCTAGCGTGTCCTAGCTAGTGATGGGCGCGTTTCTTCTTTTTAAAATTTTCCAACAAATATTTTTTTAATTGCGCTTATTTAAAATCGAAGATTTCTCAATATATACAACTCTCTTTCAAATAATTAATGTTATCACACTTTTGTAAAGTTTTATGGGTTATCATACTAGATCAAATTGACTAATTGATGCTGTCTTTCTAAAACTATCCGTCAGATACAAACAAAAAAAATGTAGAACAATATATTTTGAACATTACAGAATATGTTTTATTAATGATAACGTTACAAACCAAATAACAATACGTTAAAAATTCCTAGAAGAGACGTATATGTAAAAAAAAAATAAATTATAACATAAAAAATCATAACTTCAGTATTTAATATTCTTAGTTAAAATCTTAGGGTACTATTCTACATCATAAAATTATACAGCCCAAAATTCGGACTATGAGTCATTTTATCCTGTGATGACAATAAGGATAAAACATTTCAAATTCTTGTAAATAAAATTACTTTCTATAGCTAAATCAAAAAGTAAACTAAAATTATTGTAGACTTTAAAACGTAAGAAAAAAAGAAAAAATATTTAGTTTTTGAAATTTTCGAAAAATTAGAGTATTGAAAATCTTCAAGGTATATATTATTCATATAATTACTACAAAAATTTTGTAATTGGAGAAATATTTTTTATATGTTAATATTGGAGAAATGTTTACATTTTTATATAAAAATAAATATTAAAGTCATGTATAGAATGATTTAAAATAAACGCTTATCCTTAAAATGTTATATTCCTGACTTAATTTTAAGATGATTTTCCGTTTGCCAAAATATTTTTGAAACTTAGCTTTCAAATTATAATAAGAAATACAAATAAATTATAATAAATTAATAAATGACGGGTAGAGAAGGTAATTAAGGGCGACGTAACTCACCGTTCAATGCAAAAAGTACGGAGAACTTTCGCTGTAATCAGACGATCGCTATACATGCGTGAGCATGTGATCGCTTTCTATCTCTTGCACGCACACATACACACAATTACCTTGTAAAAATACGATAACTTCATATTGCAGTTTGAGGAAAAAAAACCATAATTACATTTCGATGAATCACGTACAGCTCCAAACAAATTTTTTATATTAATTAAACTTCCATTCCTTTTAAAAAAAATTTACGTGTGATATCCAAATTAAATTTATAAAAAAAATAAAATAAATTAACATAATCATTTGTTTCGATCTATACGTGATACATCAAGAAATAAGTTTTTCTTTTTTCTCAAGTTGTAATATAAAGTCATCGAATTTTGATAAGGTAATTTTGTGTATGAGAGAGAAAATTTGCCAAGAAAAAATCGTCTTAAAATTAAGACAAAAATATGACATATAAGAACAAACATTTACTTAAATCACCCTGTATGTGTGTATATGAAAAAATTATGTAAATAACATACATATATTTACTTAATAATACTTTTTTATAGTCTATTTTTTTAATATGATAATACTTTCTATCTTAAAAAATAAATGCCAAAAATCTCTATTCCTTCCTATTTACAAATAACTTTAAGTACCACAAGATTTAAAACTTAAAATCTTAAAAATAAATTGTAAATTTATACGTATATATATACTATATATATATATATATATGATATATATAAAAAAATAATAGCGATTAGACCGGGTGAATGAGAGTGCAGCGTTGATAATAGTATGCAAGTAAAAAATTTTTTTTACTTAAAATTATTTTATTCCATGATTTATGACAAAATCTAATCACAAATGTAGAAAAATCCTAACACACAAAGTAGTCGTCTTGAAATTTTAAATCAATGAAGTTGCCAATTAAGCCTCATCGCAAATAAATTAATCACATAACGAATATTACAAATAAATTTCTTTGTAAATAAATTAATCAAATAAAAAGTAATACAGACAAACATGTTAACATTATCAGCTCAGTTTTTAACATTCTTTTGTTAACTTATTTTCATTTTTAAGTAAAAATGAATTTTCAGTGCAAAAATGAAAATAAGAAATATAATCTCCAATAGCCTTAATCATGACAAATGTCCAGATCAAAATCTTGAACAATATTTAAGAGATTTTAACCGTCCATTCTTGAGTAATGCTATCGTCGGTGGTACCGTAACTTTCAAGCCTCATAAGTCAAAAAGTACTTAATGAAAGTAAACTTTATTATGGTGTGTTAAAATGATTGGCTATGTTGAGGTAAATTATGAGAATATATAATAAAAAATAGGGTTTTCATTAAAAAAAAATCGATGTGCTCTTGACCTGACTTTGGTCACGCCACCCAAGATTAAAGTTATAAGATCAGCAAATAGATTTTTTAAACTCTACAAATTTTATCAGAAACATTTTTCTGTAAAACTTATATTTTCCGAGATATCAGATGTCCTGATTTTTTTTGAACATTTGTATAATTATATATAACAAGTAATAAGAACTGATATCTTGAATTATATATTATAAAACTATACGTAATTATATTATATAACTTTGTGTATAAACAACAACAGGTAATATATAAATATGTGTGTAAATAGCCTATTGTTTTATTAAACTAAAATGTTTTGGCTCGTAGCCCTACTTATTGTCATTATTGTTTAGCTATATTATTTTTGTTTGTATGAAAAAATATACATATGAATCGTTATATATATTCATATTTAAATAACATAATAAGGAATTTATGTATAATTATATATTACTTGGACAGCATTATATAAAATATACAATTATATAATGAATTATACACAATTATGTATTTTTTTACAAAATTGTATAGTGATCTATGAGTATGTATAAAAATTTTTTACCCTATATACGCGTTATAATACTATTCTATTTTGCGATATGTACCGCGTCCTCCCTATTACAATATAACAGAGATACTTGGTGCTCTAACTTTTACTAAAAGAATTCTAGTTCAAACAATGCGTCCGTGCAACAATTATGCATCAATGTTTGTACATTTCAGTGCACGAACACGCGCGTAGATAAAATGTCAGGCACGTCCTTACACGCTTGCACGTGCTCTTGCGCACACTTGCGAATAAGAGGTGCATTCGCGTGTTCGCTTCTCACTGGAGAAAGCGTCGAGCGCTTATGGTGCATCCTGCGTATACTCGTATATCAGGTATGCTGAATGCAAAGGAGAGCCGTGTTTACGGGAATTGTACCAAGAGCGCATAATACCGTGACATGCGTACACGTGCTCTCCTAAAGGCGTGGCAGTCCTGCCCGCATCACTAATTTCACACAACTTTGCTTATATCCCTTCAGTTTCTTTCCCTTTATCGTAATTCCGTTTTCACAAAAAATATCACGCAGAACAATGCCTAAAAAACCAATTAATTTAATAATATTTGTAAACAAAACGATTAATTTTATTAAAACGTTTTATTCTATATTATAGTACATCCGTCAACAAAATTTTGCATAAGTTGCATTTCCAAAAAAAATTGCACAATTTGATGTATTCTATACATCAATGGGCAGAATGAATTTTATTCGCAAATGTTAGGGTTATATGTTAAGTTAGCACCCCAACTATAGTACTCAGGAGTTCTGATTAGAGTTCTCACTTCCTTTTGACAAGACGAAGAGTTCCCTATAGTTAATAACAAGGGTTCCGCTCGATAAACATTCTTTTTACATTTTTTAAAAATGGGGTGCTAACTTTTTATCGAATTTCGAGGTGGAATAGTTCTGAGCGGCTTAATAGCTTCAATTTGCGATTGCCTAGAGTTCCTGATATGTAAAAAAAATTTTCGAATATTA